ATGCTCAGGGTGATTAAGAAGGTGGTCTATTTTACCCAGACTATGAACTACTCTGTTGGGATTTCCGTTGGGGCTGCCAATTATCGTGGGCCCAGGTGATGGGTCTATGGGAAAATTCGTCCAATAGACCTTCGCCCCATTATGCGACCAATGGTGAAAACAGTTTTTATTCAAAATCTACTGATAGCTTTAAATATTGTTATGGAGACGTTCGCACACACAAGCATACACATGTTGAGGGAGTTTAATTTCGTATGAAAGTGCATGACGCAGTCGACGAGACCTCCTCCCTCGTTTCAGGTAAAAACGGGCTCAGCTTTCGTTCATCATTCGATGGACATCATCAGAGCTGGGTCTGATTCCTGTAAAAGTCTCCGGTTAAAACAAAAGCAAGAAGACTAACCGGCTCTATCTTACGTCTTATATAAACTCAAATGAGCCAAAAGAAAATTAAAAAGCTAGATACTTTTACAGGAATGATTCCAGACTCTGATGATGTACATCATTTGATCGACGAAATATCAGCTCGTTTTCACCCGAAACGAGGGAGGAGGTCTCGCGGACTGCGTCAAACTGAACGTCGTAGAAACGCCAAACGGCTGCTGTAGATCTTCTGGCTGGACTGACCTACGAATCTCTTCTTAATGCACTTTCGTACGAAATTAAAGTTCCATCAACAATGACATTGACGACATGTTGGTTCTTAGTTATGAGTTTATAGGAGAGGTAATATTATGCTTGACCTAGTCTTAACTTGAGACTTTAACAAGAATTAGTTCCAGCTCCGAGGGCCTCTGTTCTCACCCGAAACGATGGAGAATGTCTCGTGAACTGCATCAACCTGAACGTCGTATTGAGGTCAAACGGCTGCTTTTGAACCCGAATCATCCGTCGTCTTCTGGTGCCACAAACCTACGAATTGCTTTATACTGTTGGCTTGATCTCGTTTTGGCAACTTGATCTTGTGGAACGTACCTAGTCCTATCTCCTCAGTGATAGTATTCGGGATTCCCAGCATCGGACCATTGAATTGGTATATTGCCAGACATTTTGCCGGCATCGTCAGTCACATCACAGCATCGTTAGCACATAGTACAGCATATTAAAATGACAAGTTGATAAGGTGTAACTCTGTGCTAACGATGCTGTATCTCACTGATGATACCGGCGAAATGTCAGAGGACATAGGACTGCATATGTTCCACAACGTTTCCCAGATGCTCCGACCAATTCGGCAAAACTAGGTCGAACCAACACTATAAAGCTAAATGAGACTGCGACAAAACAGAAGGACACATCATCTTGGTCTTCATAGCTACGATCTAACTATGAACCTCTTTATTTTTCGAATCAAGTATTGTTGTCGTGACTACCAGTAAATCAGTAATATGAGATGTATTCACCCAATTTCAACTCATATCATTGTGGGAAAATTCTTCTTCTACCGGTCCTTCATCACCTTAAACGAAATTGCGTGAATACAACTCATATTATAAATCTCTTCTACACGATTTTTATATCAAATGAAAGTCTCCCTTAGAAACTTAGTTACTCTTTGTTGCTCGCTGTGAATACTTGCAGAGTCTTTTGTATGCAGAGGTCAAAAGTGGCAGAGCACTTGGCGGAAACTGTGTTGATTATGACATGCTTGCTGCATAACAAAACATTAAATAATCGGCTGAGAAGAGTAGGGTCATTGTTGAGGCTTTCATTTCTTATGAAAGTGTATGAAGAAGAGATTCAAAGATCATTCTTAGCAGAAGAGAACGGTTGAATCGCGTGGTACTGCAGCCGGTTGGCTTTTATACGACGTAAAGATTGACGCAATCAGCGATACGTCCTCTCTCTTTTCAGGTGAAATCCGGCTGAGCTTTCGTCCTGAAAAAAGAGGGAGGAGTTCTCGTAGACTGCGTCCACTTGGACGCAATTCAACCGTCCTCTTCTGGTGAGATCGACCTACCAATCTCTTTTTCATATACACATACACACACACACACACACATGTGCATTGATAGATAACACTTTATCTCATGGGATTCATAGAAACCCAGTTACTCTTCATATCTAAAATGTAGGGCTGCCAGGAATCGCTTGATTCATGCATGTTGAGCTCACCTCCCTTTCGAATGTGAGCGTTTGTTGAAGAGTCCCGAAGGTGGATCATACCAAAAGACGACTTTACTGAAGCATTCCTGTCGACGCTGGTTTTGAGGCAAGCTTCTTCAAGCAAAGATTTGTTCTGTTGAATAGCGGTCATCATCTGAGCAAGGAGGGTATCATCCTTAAAAGCACATTCAAGCTAACATTTCGAAAAAGCCCATCAGCTCATCCCCTTATCCATTTACAGCATTTGAGGAGATAAGTCGGGGAACTTTCTTGACTCGTTTGCTTGAATGTGGTTGCAAGAATGATACCATCTGCTCGGAAGATGTCAATCATACGACGGACGAAAGCGTAGTACGTCTTCACCGGAATCGAAGGACATAGCGTCAATAAGAATACTCATGTGAAACTAATCGACAGTTGGGATCGAACTCCTTAATCTCTCCAACAGATGCCCTCATTCGAAATGGAAGTAAGCTCATCAATTGGAGAAGCTATTGTGATACCAACAGATTAGAGAGCACACGGAAGTCTAGGAATAACGATATTAAATAAAGCAACAACAATTTATGCGGGATTGATAGATTTAAGCATAAAAAAGTACTTGAACCCTCTTCAAGCAGAAAGTGACTCAACTTTCTTTCCACATTTTGACTCTAAAGTTGAGCCGCGCGATTGTTTGGAATTGTGTAATCGCAGCGAATAAAAAATAAAAAAGAAAAGACGTTACTAAAAGTGTATTTATATTGTTTTGAGTCCTCGGACCTATCATTTTCTTTTCATATCTCCTCACACACATACACGCACGCACAGATGTACATCGATAGATGGCAGTCAAGTCTTTCTAAAAATGAGGTTGGTTGGGCTATTTCAGGTTTAGAGCTGACAAGGAAAGACTGGTTGTCCAGTTAACCTAATTTCTGGTATGCTTAATATTGCCCTAAAACGCATCCCTGTTTGGATGAATTCACTTCCACCTGAAACCGAAGTCAAACTGAAATCCTCGACTTCAGTTCCAATTGCAATCATGCCTTTTACAGTTATCCTCCGAAGTTTTCTGGCATTACGCAATCCTCGTGATGAAGCTGTCTTTGTATCAAGTACATAGAAAAAGGAAAGATCATTAAACCTCGACGGGCATGGGGCAGATGTTCAGCTTCGGTGTGAATGCTCGTATGCATACATGCATATCAATACATACAGATATCGTAATATTATATGACAATATATAGAATAGGGCAA